ACTACAGTGTCATTTTTTAGACTCATTTCCTGGATCATCCACACAGAACATCAGGAATAATGTCAAGAAGCCAGCTCAGCTTTTCAACCAGCAAATGAGCTTATGAAAGAAAGCCACACATGGGAAGATAGTACAGGACTGGATACACAATAGAACACTCTGAGCAGACCTTCATGGATGCTTGCTAGTGAGAGATACTTATGTAAAGATTAATCTACTGCCCAGGCTTGATAACCTCATCTTGAAAGCAGAGTAGTGACCATGACTCTATGGTGACCATTGCCAGAGTGTCTAGAACTGCTACTGTGTTGACTGTTCATCCGCATGCCTCACTCTTAGAACACCAGTCCTCTCCTTTCTGCCCTCAGCCACCCTAAAATAACATCAATTTTTGTTAGTTTTTTTTTTTTTTGTTTATTGAAACAGGATTTGTATGTGTAACAGCCCTGGCTGTCCTGGAATTCACTTGGTCGACCAGGCTGACATTGAACTCACAGAGATCCACCTGCCTCTGCCTCTGCCTCCTGAGTGCTGGGATTAAAGGTGTGCACCAACACCACACAGATAGACCTGTACTTTTTAGGATAAAAACAAAACCAGCAGGCAATGTACAGGCCACAATCTAAGCTGTGTAGCAAATATTTGAGTACATGGTGGCTACAGCTGAAGCTGTACAGTGGGAGTAGGAAGATAAATCTTAATAACAAAAGTGAAGATATAGACTAAAATGTCAATGTGCCTATAAGAAGTAAGCTATCAGGAGGGCCAGCATCAATAGATCAGTATGAAGGCTCCTAAGTCTTGGAAGCCTGTGTCTTTGATCATCAGATAGAGATCAATTCTTCCGTTGAACTTGTGTTCACCTAACCTTTCCTACAGTTGATGGCTCTCCCATTCCCATGACAATAAGGCCTCCACTCCTTTCTGGGCTTCCTCTAGGGCCTAAGTAACAAGTCTCTGTCACCACCAATATTCTCCCTCATCAGTCCTTTCCTTCTATATGCATAGCTTCTATGTGGTTCCTGGGAAATACTAGTCCTTTTGTTCTGAAGATCTCAAAACTAAGTGCAGAGTTTCCCTCTGTACACACAGATTCTCTGTGATCCTGCTCTGAGCTGAAATAACTCTGCAGACATAGCTTGACCCATCAGCTTTTCTACCCCTCAGGTTGAGACTCTTCTAAGACTGCTCTCTGGCAAACACTCTTCCCGTGTGCATGTTTGCTTGTTGGGCATACAGTGCCTTCCCCTGGAGGTGAGCTGCAAGCTGCGAGACTGTGTGGTCTCATTGACGAACTCTAGCATCTAAAGTGTCTGGCACACAGTCGGCATGCAGCCAGTAACTGGACAAAAGAATGAAAACGCAAGGAAAACGTAGAGGCACATGGATGGTTGTCTGTATCTTAAGATAGCTTAGAAGCTGCGCCTGGTTTAGTGATAGACAGAAACCGTTAGACTTGACCAAACTTGAGCAGTTGCTCCTTTAGCTCTAGCACTGGACACTGTCAGGAATCCAGACAAGAAGATCTGCCTGTCTTCCTACATGTGTCAGCATTGCTTCAGGGGCTGACTCCACCAAGACCATTGTGTGTGTGTGTGTGTGTGTGTGTGTGTGTGTGTGTGTGTGTGTGTGTGTGTGCATGTATGCCAGAGAGTTGTCTGCCTTGTGGCTCCTTGGAGCATTTAAGCATAGGGTTTTCTTCTTGATGTTTGAAACTGTGATTATTTTTAATTCAGTTTGTCTCAACTGATAAAGATAGACACCTGTGTGTACTTAAAGAGTACTACGTAAAATTCCAGTAGGTTTTAGACATCCTGTAATGTTTAAGTCAGATTAAACACTTCTCAGACATATTGAATTTCTCCATCCTTAACAATTCTTTCTTACAGCTTTCTGAAACACACACTAACTGCAGTTGTGGCCCAATGGACCAACCTCTACTTCTCTCTCTTAGTCATGCTCCCCTTAGTCTCTGGTAACCATCATTCTCCTTTAACTCCTGTAAGATGTACATCTTTAGATTCTACAGATGTCTCTCTGCAGACGTCACTTGTCTCTCTATGCCTGCTTTATTACATTAAACACAGTAATCTCTTCTACCCACATTGCCACAAGTGACAACATTTTATCTGTATGACCCAGTAGTATTCCCTTACATATATATACTTCATTTTCTTTATCTATCCAGCTGTTGACTGATACTTAGATCGGTTCTACCGACTGGCTATTAATAATGATGCCCCCAGGGGACATGGAAGCGCAGGTGTCTCGTGACATGTTGACATTTCTTTGGGTATACACCGGATGCAGGTTGCTGTGTCACTTGAGTTCTGTCTCTATGAGGTGCTGTGTACAATAGCTAGCTGTCCTGATTTACATTCCTACCTACAGTGTGAAGGGTTCCATGTCTATGCATCCTCATGATCACCTATCTTTCATCTCTTTTGCACTCTTCATTCTTCTTAATGAGGTGACACTGATTTGTTTTGTGTTTCCTTCGTGACTGGTGATGCTGAGCATATTTTCATGTATGTTCTTGCTCCTGTATGTACTTGTTATTGTCATGTCTTCTCTTGATGGGTATACAAGTCTACTGTCCATTTTAAGTCTAGTTATTTTTGTAGTTGAGTTTGGAGTTCCTTGCATATTCTGTGTTTTGAACTTTCTTTAGATGTGTGATTCACAAATGCTTTTCTCCCAGTTGATAAGTCGTCTCTCCCAGTTTCCTTTGCTGTGTAGAGGTATATCAGTGTGCAATAATCTCATTTGTCTATGTTTGGCTTTGTTTCTTGTGCTTTTGGGGTGTTGTCCTACCTCTCCCATTCATTATATAATGTCCTGAAGCATCCCTCTTATTCTTTCTTCTAGCAATTTCAAACTTTCAGATCTCACACTTAAGAATTTGATACATTTTGAGTCTGTTTTAACCAGTGAGTAGTAAGAGTTGATGGCATCCAATTTGTCCAGGACCGTTTATTAAAATGGCCATGCTGTCCCCAGTGGTATTCTTAGCAACCTTGGAGAAATCCTCTGGATACAGGTGTGTAGTTTATTTCTGTACTCTTGTACTGTTTCTTTGATCTTTGTGCCTGTTTTTGTGTTGGCCCACACTGCTTTGGTTACCAGAGCTTTGCAATATGCTTTGAAGTTAGGCAGCATAATACCTCTGGCTTTGTTCTTTTTCTTTCTTTTTCTTTTTCTTTTTTTCCCTCAAGGTAGCTTTGATGAGTCAAGGTTTGGTATACAACATTCTGATCAACTTTCCTTTATTCTATCCAGCCAGCAATTCCTACCTCTAAATCTTCTTTCTAAGCAGAGAAGACTTTGTGAGAAGCTTTAGGTGACCTGACCCAGGTTCTGGCTGGAGAGTAATGAGCCATAGTAAGGAGCATGGGTGGGAAGCATGCTGCAGGCACCCCGGGTGTGCATGTGTGCAGCACCAAAGCATAGGTCCAGATGGTGCAATGTGGTAAAGTCTTTGCCTGCAGTGCCACATGATTGCCAGGCCCATTCTTCAGGGGCTAAGCTGGCCTTCCTTCTTTCCTTCCTTCCTTCCTTCCTTCCTTCTTTTTTTCCTTCCTTCCTTTTTTCCTTCCTTCCTCCCTCCCTCCCTTCTTTCCCTCCTTCCTCCCTCCCTCTTTCCCTTCCTTCCTTCTATCATTCCTTTCTCCCTTCCTTCCTTCCTTTTTCCTTCCTTCCTTTCTCCCTTCTTTCCTTTTTTCCTTCCTTCTTTCCTTCCTTCCTTTCTCCCTTCTTTGCTCCTTTCCATCCCATTCCTCCCTCCCTCCCTCCCTTCTTTCCTTTTTTCCATTGCCTCTTTCTGTCTTCTCCCAATGCCATCAATTCCAAAAGTTTTAGGAAAATCCAGATATCATGATTTTGGTAGTAAAAATGACTGTACCATGCTCATAGTATCTGTGCTTAAGGTCTGTTACGTGTCTGTCTGCACAGTTCCAGGAGTCAAAAAACTCATGTCCAATAAAGTAAGGGTGGCATTGCTGTTTCTTGGAGTTATTGGGGTCAAGAGTGACAATATCCAGCTTTTATAAGCAAAGGTACAATATTGAAAATTATATTTATCATTGCTTTAAAATATCCTGTTAGCATCAAACATTAGAGGTCCCTCCTCTGGGACAGTTAGGATCCACTAGGCATCAACAAGAAAGAACAGGCGCACACAGCATACTCAGAGTTAGGTTCAAGCATATCCTTTGAAGTCACAGAAGCACTGAGGATCCTAGGAAAGCAAGAATGTATCCCAGGTGCACCTGTTCTGATTCAGAGGGAAACTGAGTCAGGTGACAGGAGATGGGGTGACACTCAGTGTGAAGCCAATGGCTTTGTGAAAAGGATGAGGGGCAGACACTGACCTCTGACCCCTCCAGTTCTCCCAGAGCACCATGTAAGATTCACAGGGAGCCTGTGCTGAGGACACATTGTCACATGCTCTTGAACTTGTCAAATCTCGCTTTGCTAACACCACACAGCTTTCACAGTCCCTCTTTCCCGCCTTAGATGGGACAATGGCTTCTGTTTTCACACATCTCAGAAGACTGGGTGTGAGACACGCATTACATGCCCCTAATATACATTTTCTTAGTGTAGAAGATGTACTTTACTGGGTTTGAAGTTTAGTTTCCTAAACTGCAACAGACAAGTTTTATGATCTTTCCCAATATACACTTTGTTTTTTGTTTGTTTGGTTTGGGCACAAAAATTCATTACCTGTGTCAGCATGGGAAGTGTTGTAACAAGCTGTTGGATACATACCAGAAACTTTGAATAGGTTGTTTGGAAATAGCAAATTACAAGTTGCTTTCCCCTGCTTATATTTAAAGGTATTGTGACAACTTTTATTTACTGCATTTAGGTATTAAGAATTTTGGAGAATTTGCTTTAAATGTAATTAGTGTTTAATTAATTAGTCTCTTCTCTTGTTTTACTCAAATAAACAGTAAATTTTACCAGACAAGAGTAATCTTTTCTAAAATTTATTTCAGGTTTTGAAACTAACATGAACCTGACTAGCCGGGATGAACCCAGTTCATCAGAAATGACTTCAGAGACTCAAGACAGAAATGCAAATAATCATGGGATTCAACTGTCCAGCTCTCTGTCTACTGCTGTCGTCACAGCTGAAAATGGAAATTCTGTCACAAACGGTGAGCCCTTCTTATCTCACAAAGCAGTGGGTCAAAGTCTTAAGCTACATCTACATTGGAGGAAGAGTACATCTAACACATAAAAGTGAAGTAGGCTTGATAACTGGAGGTAGAATGTAAACCCTGGGCAGTCATTCAGGTGGAAAGGGAGTCAAACTCACTATCCGATTACCTTTCCAGAGGCTTGATGGGGTGTCAATCTGTAAGAACCAGTAGAAGGTGCATCTTGTGCTGGGGAGAACAAGAATGTTCAACCATAAATGTTGAATTAAATGTTTTCACACAGCTAAGAAATGTGAAGGAAAATACTGATGGCTGCAGATGACAGACTGACTTTAGGTTACCCAGTAAGCCTGGCTGGGCTGCCATGTCCAAACCCACGTAAACAAATGTTTTCTCTGATATAGATTTAGTTGTGGCTGATGGGAAAGCCCAGCCATTCTTTACAAAGCATCTCTGTTTACTCTGATAAAAGGGGCTAGAGACCTAACAGAACAATTGGCTGCTGGGAAGGGGCCGAGATGGGGGCCTGGCTGTTCATTGTTCTTTTCTTTGCCCTGACAAAAGCTGGATTAAGGAGAGAAGGATGTATGTTGGTCCATGGTTTGAGAGGCTACAACCCATCGTTCATGAAGGGCATTGGTAGTGGGAGCTGGGGTGGCTGGTTTCTTTGTTCCATCAGTCAGAATGAGACAGAGAGAGAGAGAGAGAGAGAGAGAGAGAGAGAGAGAGAGAGAGAGAGAGAGAGAGAGAGAGAGATGGCTGCTGGTGCTCTTCTTATTTAGTATATGAACCCAGAACAGGGTGCCACCCACATTCAGGCATACCATCCTTCCTCAGTTACACCTCTCTAGAAATGCCATCCTAGGAGCTTCTAAACCCAGTCAGGTTGACAATCAAGATGAACTATGATATCCATGCTAGCCTTGCAAGGCAGTCTGAGTCCTGAGCTGTCTTCTCATGGGAGAGTCTGCCCATTGAAGCAAAAGTACAGCCTTCAAATGAGCCAGTGAGTGCTAGGTCTACAGTCAGCCAAAACCAGGTTCTTACTGTCACAGACCTGACTTGTATGGAACCTGTGACTTCCAATGACCATGGTACCTCTAGAGAAGAACATTTTATTCTACTATCATTATTTGATTTGATTTGCTGCCTATGTGTATGCAGTGCATACAAGAGTACATGTGGTGCCTACATGTGCATATCTTTGTCTGTCTGTCTGTCTGTCTGTCTGTCTGTCTGTCTCTCTCTCTCTCTCTCTCTCTCTCTCTCTCTCTGTGTGTGTGTGTGTGTGTGTGTGTGTGTGTGTGTGTGTAGGTACCACCTGTATAAAAGTACCTATGGAGGCCAGAAGAGGACATCAGATCCCTGGAACATTATTCCCTCCAGGAGAGTGTCATCTTGCCCAGCTACAGACCCTTTATTCAACACAATAGTATCCAATCACAGGGTAGGACTTAATCTTTCCCCTTCTAATTTTCTCCTCTTCAAAGGCATGATGCAAGGCTATGCCAGGACTTTTTCAGAGAACATAGTAGGATGCGATTAGCCTGGAGTTAAGTGTTCAATCAATAGTATCTATCCACAAGTTGTGGATGCTGAGAACTAAACCCAGGTCCTCTGGAAGAACAGCAAGTGTTCTTAACCACTAAGCATCTCTCCAGCTCCTGATGGTAAATTTTGATATGGATTTACTATGCCCATGCTCATAGTACAATCATTGTCCATTCTGTATAAAGGTACCAAAAGCAAGTAAATATTTAAAATAATTTAAAGTTCTGAATGAGTCAAAAATAGCACTATTTTCTAGGAAATGATTTCTTTGGAGTGCCAGGATCTGCATGCTACCCCTGTTTCCCAGAAATAATTATGTTTGCTCATTTGCTGAAATACAGTTATATGTGGTTAATTATAGCGATCACTTACTTTAATTGCCATCCTTTTGCTGATGTGAACACAGACTCGGGTACTTTTTTTGTGTATTTAATTATTCCCTGGACTTGCGGTTGTTTATCGTGGCATTGGAGAGCCGCCTTTAGTGTTAGAATGCTTCAGCTATATCAAACAGAAATATTGTAAATATAAAGATGTTTATTTTGTGGAAAGTAGAGATATAAAAAGTTCCAACTAGGACATTTTATGATCAGTATGGTTTTCCTTCTCACTGCTCAATGAATATGCATTTTATTGCTGAGCATCAGGAAAAAATGGCAATTAAGGACAGAGTCATTACATTTGAGCATACATTTATCTCTCTTTTCTTTATTTGCATTATATTCACTCTTTGTGTACAGTCTGGGTTGTCTTTGTCATTCAATAATGGGTAAGTAATGGGAAAGACTACTGATCTCATAACAGAACCTGAGCTGGGGACATCAGAACCAAGTCACACAGACCCACTGGTAGCAAAGTATAATTTTCATCAGGCATGCCTCAAAGACAGGGAGCCTAGAATAAGATCCTATAAATTATGAGTTCGTCTATATTCTCCTACTTTATTTTTGAAGCTGTACAGATTCTTTGGAGCTCATGATGTTGTCTGAGTCTAGCCTCAAGAACAAGAGGGAAGGGAGCAAGCCTCCACTTCACAAATGGGAGAGTGTTGCATTTGTCTTTGCCGAAAAGCAGAGGGGGCTATGCTAGCTCCTGGGTTACCTGCCAAGCCCTGCCCCACTCGTCATGATCAGAGACTTTCTGAATTCATGTTAAAGCATCTCCCATTGGACCTTGTTTCATTAAATATTCTCTTACTGGTGTTGGTAACTGTGTGTTGAAAACCAATGGTCTAGGATCATGCTTTGCAATTCCCTCCAGTGATGTCCTTCTTAGGACTTAAGGAGTCATCTTGCCAGTATCTGAACCCCAGTAACACTCCACCCATGGCCGTGGTACTTAACCTTGTACTTCCCAATTTTCTCCACTTTAAAAGGGAGTAATGCAAATGGCTATGTCAGAACTTCTTTGGGGGACCTAGTAGGGCAATGCTAGCCCAGTTAGTGTTCAGTGGACAGGACCCACTCATCAAATCTTAGAGATTTTCTAAGTTTTCATGTGAGAAACATGGTGATGATTTGAATTTCCTGGGCCACTCAGGCTGCCACACAAGAAGAGCCTGCCATCTCTGGTCCAAAGTGAGTAGATTGGGCAAGGCTGAAGCACACACAATTCCAGAGCTCAAGAATGGCTGTCAGGTCTCAAGTCACATTCTCTTTACAGAAATTCAAAGTTCCTATAATTGTTTCTCCACCTTTGCTATTTTAAGAGGCAAAATCATTAAGTTCCTGTGGTCATACATGCATTTTCTTGGACTGTTTGATAAAAATGAATGGTTATGGCCTACTGATCATTTATACCACCTCTCCTCAATTTTCCATCTTTCCACTCCCACCCTGCTGCCAAAAACTCTTAATTGTAGGTCCTTTATTTTTATTTGTGGTTGTCTTAAAAATGGGGAGACTTTTATTTAATGGATTTCAGTATTTTATATCGTTCTTACATTTTTGTTTTAGTTTGTGACATTTTAATAATGTATTCATTTTAATGTTCATAATTAGAGCTTTTAATCTCTTTTCTCTCAGCATGGTTTGTGACTTTGGTAACAATTTTAGATAATTTGTCTTGAAGGGGTATTATTCTATGGAGATCCCTGCACCTTGGGAGGAAGGGTTATGAAGAGTACCCAGCCTGACAACAGTTTACTGTTGTCTGTACCTTGACCAACTGTGGGTCTGGGTCTCGGTGATAATCACCATCTACTGCAAGAGTAATGCATGGGAAATAAGATTCCAGGGCAAAATATTGGCGGCTGGATGTTTATTCGGGGAGAAATCACTTACACCAGAAACAGAAGACTACCACAGGTTCACATTCCAAGGATGCCTCTGGATGCTCTTTGTCTCTGACTGGGAAGCAAGAGAGTGAGCTGGGGTTCAGGACCCCAGACCTAGTCCCCCAAGGTCACGCCCACACCCATCCCCATACCCCAATGGGCCTGGTCATTGCAACAGGTATGGGCATGGTGGATATCTCACTACACAAGAAGCTTCTCTCACAGGAGATGAGTGATGCACTGATCTATGGGCATAACAATGGTCCTTGAGTTGTTTCAATGTTTGTTTAGCAGAATTCTCCCCCTAATGCCTGTGACCTGTCTAGGCTAGAACACACAGACTATATGGCCCAAGGGCTTAGATGACTTCAAGGAGACAGTGTGGTCTGAACACAGCAGGGCAGTTGCATATAAAAACTCACAGCAATTGCAACAGTGCACAAGAGACCTAGAAAGTCTCAATCCAGACAAAAATCCCAGCATGCAGAGGACAGGTGGGCACAGAGTGCCACCCCTATCTGATGAGCTGTTGACATTCTGTAACTGCCGGGAAAGGAAGAGTCAGATTTATTTAATGGTGTGGTTCCTTTTGTATGTACCACACCCCAGGGAGAGAATGAAAACATGTGAAACCATGAAACTTGGTGTGTAAGGAAGGAGGTTGGATGTGGGAGGAGCTACTGGGGGAAGGGAGAACACGATCAAAACATGTATGTAAAATAAATGAGAAAAACTAACAAAAATGTTATCATCTTTCTTAGAAGTCTTCAGTGTCAACATTTGCCTGCAAAACATTGTCATATCCCCACAAAATGTTCTCAAAGCCTTCTGACACCTGGCCAGCTTTACCTTCTCAAGTACCCGGAGATAGACATGCCATTTTAATGGGTTGTTCCTTGTGCAACCTCAGACCTCCTGGCCTATCTTGTTCCTGTTTTCAGCTGGGCCTGCAGTTCCCAGCTCATTGTACTATGGTCTTCCCAGATTGCCCCAGCAGGGCCCCTCCCATCAGGGTGATCCTTCATTTTCCTTAAGAGCCACAAAGGAATACCTACAACCCATGATCCCATGTTTCGTGCTTCCAATGCAGATATGTGTGTGTGTGTGTGTGTGTGCACATATACATACATACGTATACATATACATATTCATAGACATATATATACATACATATGTAGACATAGACATATGTGTGTGTATATATGTGTGTGTGTGTATATATATATGTATATATATATATATATATATATATATATATATATGGATATGGTCTGAGGTCTCTATGTTTGCTTTACTATGGCTCACTAACCAGTGCTCACAGCTGAGCCACATCCATGCACAAAACCCACACTCTTGGCAGGGTGCATGTTTGTGTTCATTTGAGTAAACCACCCCGACCCATTTTCCACAGAAGCAAAGACACCTCTGCACTGACTGTACTCGGGGCACATGGGCAAATGTCCTTCAGGTGTCCCTTCACCATCTCCCAGGTGGGATCCTTTGCTTCTGGCTGCATAGAAGCCCTTCCTGTACTCTCCCAGCCCTGAGTCTGTTCTGCTGTTTTCTAATTAAGTGTGGGCCGGTTAAGTTGTGAGATTCTCTCACTGGGGGACCCTTTCTTTCTTCTCCATTATATTTCTCTGCACCCTGTTCAGAGAATGCTAACAAAATACTTCTTAATTTTTATCCATTGACTCTGTGGAAGGCACACTAGGATGCCACCTTGGTTCTGGATCTGTGATCATGGTCTAAACTGATGTTTCTCTTCTGAAACCAGGAGTTGAACTTCTAACTTATGAATTGCTATTTCTGAAAGATGGGTCACACTTCCTCTGCCTTTAATCTCCTGTCTGCCAGACATCAAACCCTGTGGCTCAAATGTGAAACACTCACAGAGAGGCTCACGTGTGTGTTTGAACACTCGGTCCCAGCTGGTGTATGGATCAGGCAGGTTGTGGAAGTCTTAGGAGAGGGCATCTCACGGGAGGAAGTGGATCTCTAAAGGCAGGAGGTTTCACAGCCCAGTTTCTCTCCCTGTTCATTCTCTGCTTCCTGGCTGTGCACTCAATCCCAGCAGTGAGCTTTCTCCTCCTTCTCCCATGTCTCCCTCAGCACGATGCCCTGTGCTTCCCTAGACCTGTGAGACACAATAAATATTTCCCCATTTTGCTTCTGTGGGGCTGTCCATCACAGTAATAGAAGTTAGTAGGGTAGGATATCAGACAAACTTGACATGTATGCTGCCTTGAACTTGACCCTGTCCACAGCCCTCGTCCTTCATGTCCTTTGACCAGGAGTCTTTCTCCAGATGATGCCTTGTCTTACACCTGCAGGCTCCTATGCACCTATCTAAGCTCTTAATTATGCCATACAGTTGGTTGATGGGACAACACAACACACCCTTTTCCTGTCCTGCTGGTGATTACATTGCTCATGATCAGGACCCAGTCTTCCTCAGTGGTGGAACAGTATTCACCCACAATAAGGCCTGTCCTGATAGGTGTGTAACACTATTTCTGGGGAGATATGAACAAGCATCTAACTTGCTTAAGATGGAAAACTGAACTGATGACAGAGGGAAGTAATACCACCAAAAGCCAAGTTAACAAAACAACGAGTTTATTGAGGTTACTTACAAGAGCAGGCTCAACTCATAGGCAGCTAAGCCTCTGAAACCCACCACATCAAAACTGAAATTCTGGAGCATTCTGCTCAACAGATTAAAGGGTCTCCTCTCCTTAGCAGTCCTTACTCTTCTATAACCTTGTGAAACTGGTCAGTTTCAGAGACTTCCTGGGACTAGTGTGTTGTTGTCTTCCTGAGTCTCAACTAGTCTGTCCTTAGAACTTTCTGAGTCTTAAGGAGCTTCCCTCCAGGCTGGAATGTTTCATAAAAACATTGACAGAACGTTTTTTACATGGAGGCATGTGTAAATTTACCAAGAAGGCAGACTGGTCTACCTCATGTTGGTTGGATTCAGATTCCCCCCACCCCTGCCCCAAGGAATTGGCATACTCCAGTAATTGGAAAAATGCACAGTGGTTTCATAGTGGTTTTTAATTTAGGAATCATGTATATGTTTAATCAATTAAACTGTGCTAGTTAATTATGTTTCCAGAGGAGATGAGTAATTGCTTCAGTATTTAAAGTTCTCTTGGTAGAATTCATTCCATTGGGCAGTTATTTCTCTTTTTATCTGTTCATGTTTATTAATCCAGCCACTTGGGGCAGTTCATGCCATCTCCATCATGATTGCTCTCAATCAGTGTAGGGGAACAGATCTGTCCCCAAGGGGCATTTAATAATGTCTAAAATCACTTTGATTGTCATGAATCAGGGTGCAGCCAGTGAGGAAGGCCAGGGATGCTACTATTCATGATATACAGGACAAGCTTAGACCAGAGAATTATACAGGCCAAATGCCAAGGGTCAGAAATGGGTATCTATATGCAGGATAATAGAAAATGTCATCTGCTGTTGGCTAAAAACGGGCAGGTTGTGACTAGTGAGTTTTATCCGCCTCACCACCCCAGCTTTGCAAATGGAGGGAACACAGTCATGGTTCCTGTGACACTCAGGTGTGCTCCTGCTGTCCTGGTGTTTCTTTAGTCTCTGCTTCCCTTCCCTCCCTTCCCATACTGCCCCACAGATGAAATATGAACTTTCGTCATCCAGGAAGGAAACAGCACCAGCCTTGTGCTTCCTTCTTCCTGGAGGATCTGGGGATGGTTTCCTGGCTCTAAGAAAGCCCCCTCCCTCCCTTTTGAGTCACATCTGCATTGCTCTGACTGGCTTGCTGTCATTGTCTCTCTGGCAGTATATCTCCTCTTTTGTTTAACAACACTGCAGGAGCTTGAGGTATTCGCTGCAAATTTTAATATTCAATAGATATCTGCTATTTTCTAACACTGTAGTGCATGGAATATGACAGTGTCTGTTTATTAAGCATGAAGGTTTTTTGTTTTTTGGTTTTTTTTTTTTGTTTTGTTTTGTTTTGTTTTTTTGGCAAGGAGACACAAACCTCACCACAGCTCTGTGCTGACCTCCACAGGTTTACCTGAGGATGATGGTTGCTCAAGGCTCTGTCTGAGTGGTACAGGGACCTCATCATTTCAGAGACATCGGGAGAGTCACACCACCCAGGTAAGGGCACTGTATATTCCTCCACGCAGCAACAAGTGGAATTAAGCCATGGCACACAGCCACTAAGTCGTGGTCACTGGTCTTCTTCCTGAACTGAGAACTGAGGTTATTTTCATGCCCTTCTATGGTCCTTTGTCCAAACATTTCTCTCTCTTCTCCATCTCAGCTGTCTACAATTTTTTCTTACTCTGGAAAAAGCTCAAAGCTAGCATATTTCAGTAGAGTATTATAGACATCATTTTGTTATGGTACTTTAAAATCACTGAATGGTAGTGGTGATGGTATGAATCCTAACAGTGATGGTGTTTTCTGCATTTGCCCTGGGTTAGAGTATAAGCTTGCAGTGACAGTGTCTTGGAAATAACATCTAGATGCCCTGAGGTCTTGTTGCATGCTGTTCATTCTCAGACCTTCCAACTTTTACATAATCAGCTCCACTTAGGATACTGTATGCGGATCTTCCAGGATGGCTCAGTCAATGAAGTGTTTGCTTGTGCAAGCAAAACTTAAATTAGATATCCAGGACCCGGGGGAAAGGTGGATGCTGGAATACATGCTTGAACTTCAGTGGAGGGATGGCTGAGAGAGGCAGATCCCTGGGGCTTGCTGGTCAGCCAGCCTTGTCTCTTGGTGAGTAATAGGCCAATGTGATACACTGTCTCAAAAAACAAACTCAACATCTCCTGAGGGACAGCACTGAAGATTGATATCTAGCCTCTACAGGCATGCACACAAACATGCATCTGCACCTGCGCACACACATGCCTACATAGACCTTTATGCACACATGCACACACTCAAATATGCATAGACACTTGTACACACATGCACACACACAAACACACATGCAAGACACTAATTGAGAACAAGCTTAAATTAAAAATCCTATGGGCATTCCATGATTACATGTTCTTGTTCACCATCTGACCTTGGAAATTGCACCAAAACAAAGATTATTCAGGAGGAATTAAAAGGTTAGTGCTTTTAGGATGCAAGGAACCCAGAATGAAGTAGTTTTTTTCCCAGTGAGGTTAGACATATTTGATGCCATGTAGATACAGCCATATTATGAGCTGAGACTTTTCTAAGTAACACTGATGAGGTGGCATGAAAAAAATCAATAATTTTAATCTTAGAAATTAGTCTATATAGTAGGCAATCTGCAGAAATCACTTGGACTGATCTATAGGTGCTGAAACTAAAGGAAAATGCTGATTGGTGGGGATGATAAATCATCCTAGTCTTGCCTGTGTTCCTGGGAGGTGCATCTGCTTTAACCCTGCAAGTGCTACGGAGGCCCAGCATTCCCTGCCCTGAACAGGGGCTGCCTGAATCAGAGCTGACTCCTCTGTGTTACACACACACAGTGAGACACTGCCTGCCCTACCCTCCCTCAGGTATGATGCTGTGCTCCCCGAGAAAGGACCTGGCTGGAAGCAGGCTCATGGTGTGAGGCCTCTGGGTCTTCCTGTTCATTCATGGGTTTAGCTGAGGGACAGAGAACATTTTTTGAGAAAGGTTTGGGGAATTGTCTCCATCTCCCAGTTTCAATGAGGCTTTTTCAAACTCGAACCCCTTCCCTGGAATAAATACCCAATCAGTTCACCCCGTCTCCCTAAACACGGGAGTCCATACTCCTCCCCTGTTGTGCTGACTGTAGGTGCTCAATGGTAGCAGCAGATTCCTCACAGGCAAGAAGCTGTGAGTTACAGGACACTGTGGCTTAACTGCCACATGTCCCCAGGAATTCAGTACCAGCAAGTGCTGAAGTCACTGGTCCTATGGCAATGGGATTAAAATGAACCACCTACAGAATCCCTGTCTGCAGATGTCTGGATTTTTATTAGTGTCACTGTAATAATAGTAATAATAAAAATAATGGTAACATGTGTTATAAAGAAGACAGAGCTGGTCACTTGCCAAGGGTCAGATCCTGCTTCTAAAAGGAGATTAGAGTAAACCGCTAACAGGGAAGTGGGGTGTTGCCTCACCATTCCAGGAACTTGAAGTTTTGGTCTGAAGACCACACTGGACCTGGACGGTCATGGTCTTGTTTGTTTGGTGTTGGTCTTGATGTAACATCTCTCACCTACTTTGGTGAGGCTTAAGAAAGATGCTCACTCCTCCTTTCTCTGCTTCCACAGCAAGGGTCTACCATAGATAGTGGGCAGGGGACCTAAAACACGCCAGATGAAAGGCATAAACAAAGCCCTTTTCGGAGACTTCTTGGGGGCAGGAGAAACGTGTCAGGCAGACATCCACTGCCTGCCTGCTCTTGGCTTTCTGCTTTCCCAAATAGCCCTACCCACTGACGAAGCCCAGACAGAGTTCACTTCTCATGCCTGCAAATGCATCTGACAGGAACAATAAGTTCATTGTTACTAGCCAAGAAGAAATCCATTTATATTCAAATGTGTCTTCGCTACACTGGTTGTACAAAGTCACTAAGTTTATTCTGTTTAGTGCTAAGTGTTGACTCCTGTGCATTGATGGAAAATATGCAATTTACAACTGATCTGTACTTCCAACCCTTTTCGGTGTGTGTGTGTGTGTGTGTGATTGAATTTGAGTGTGTATGAGTGTGTGTATGAGTGTGTGAAGGTGTGTGGTGGTGTGTGGTGTGTGGTGTGTGAGTGTGAAAGTATGTATGCATGTAAGTGTGTGTGTGAGTATGAGTGTGTGAGTGAGAGTGTGTGTGAATGGGGGTATGTGTGAATTCGTATAAGTGTGTGAGTGTGTGTGGTGTGTGTGAGTGCATGTGAGAGTATATGAGTGTGTGTTGGAGTGCATGTGAGAGTGTAAGAATGTGTGTGTATGTGTGTGTGTGTGTGTGTATGTGTGTGTGTACACCTTCAGCTCTCATTCCTCAGGTGGTGTCCATCTTGGTGCTGGACCAGACAGTGAGTCTCAGGTATCTGTCTGTCCCCAGAGTTCTGATGACAAGTGCCACCATGTCCAGCATTTTCTAGGGTCTAGAGGTCTAGGGGATTTGAACTCAGGTCCTTTTGCTCACAAGGGAAATGTTTTATCCACTGAGCCATCTTCCCTGTCCCATACCTGTTCTTAATATTAACCTACAACAGCATCAGAGCCTCTGTCAACAGTGGCTGTTCCTTTCCTAGAGTTAAATAATATATCATCTCTCATGGTAGCTTTTTATTATCTTGCAAAATGCAATGCCTTTGCACATGAACAAGGAAAAGCAGGAAAGCTGACTAAAGTAGTTGAAGATCACAGAAACTGGAACTGCAGTCATTTCCAGTCCTGTGGAGCCCCTGCATGTTGGTATGTCAGTGTGTTGGTATGTCAGTGAGTCCTGTAATGAGACACTGTAGAATGTTTGCATAGCCCTAGGCATGAGTAACACCAGTAATGAATTAAGGCTGAATTGCACAGGCTGGTTTTTGGAGGATCTTGTAGACGCACAGAATTTTTTTTTTACGTTGTAGAGGAAATTGCAGGCTTAACTGGGAATTAGGCAGCACTTACAGGAATAATATGACATTTATCTACGTACATTTTTATGATATTTGAATAATTTTCTTTAAAATTTGTGCTACTTGGCATGATTCAGTCTCTTAGAAGCTAAAGCTAGGGAGAAAGGCTCAGCAGTTAGTATAACGCTTGTGCGTCCAGCCCAGAATAACTCGCTCTCCTTCCTCCTCCTTCCTCTCCTTCTCTGCCTGTCTCCCTCCTCCCACTACTGTTCCTCCCCCTCTGTGAGCATATCCATTGCCAAACCGGGGGACCCAAAACCTGTCCCAAGAAGCCAGCAGACACAGATACCCATGGCACAACATGGAGGTGTGCAGACAGGATGGCAGCTGAGGGGAGAGATTTCACCAAGCATCTGTAGCGCACCTTGGGCACGAGCGTAGTCTCCTATGCATGGTTAAAGTGTCCACACTGGACATGGCATGGGTAGATGTTTCTTTCTTTTTTTCTTTCCATCATGTCTTATTTACATTCACAAGCTCACTTTGCACCAAAGGCCTTTTCCATAACCTTGCGGTTCCCCCTCGGTCTCCTGTCCACGGTTACACTGTGTGCTTCTTTTTTTTTTTCCCATGGTGGACACGAGCCTGTGAGCAAACTTTACAGAACATTTCCTTAGTATTTCAAAGAATATACAAAGTAACTGTGAGCATTGGCAGTATCCAAAGACCCATCACAAGAGATCATTGATGGTTTTTGATAAATGCATTGCAGGCCAGCTTCTGTAACCTTCATAAATACCTTGTCCACCCCTGACACAGCCGCCGGTGGAACACCAGACTAGGATCAATAGAAAATCGATCCAAACCAAGGAGCAAATTGTTACGTGGTTTGTTTTACTGAACCGTCAGAGAAACCTTTCTGTAATGCCATGCATCAACAAAATGAAGAATAGCAGGCACTAAATAAATTCAATGTTTGCTTTCTATATTCATTATAGTTGTGGCATGGACTGCTGGAAAATGTGCTCTAGCACAGACTTAAAACAAACTGTCAGGAGAAATAAAGATATGTAGATATGTTTGGTTTAACCATCAAGGTGCCTTTAAAGCCCGTGAAGTAGAAACGAGGCTATGCTTACAGAAGGGAGCTGGCTACCCGTCTGTCATCCTCATCTTGTCTTCTGTATATCATCATCCATGCATCTTTCTGTATATTCATCATTAGTCTTCTTATCATTATCTATCTGTCCATCTGTCGCTCTGTGTCTGTCTGATTATCCATTTATCCGAGCTACAAGCAGAAGGATACATAGACTAGGAAATGCCTTCCCACACGCCAGCTGTCAGGGAATCAGTATTCTAGACTCATGACTTACATGTTGTGTGTGAGAAATGAAGACAGTAAATTACTTTGATGGTTTGAGTGAAATGGCAGGGCTTTCCTCAGGAGCAGGCCATGCCCTGGTTAGATAAGTAGCAATTTGAAAAAAAAAATAAATAAATCCTGTGTTTTGTATTTTCATGTTGTTTGCTGTATGTGAGCTGAATATGATAAAATTCATA